GACAATATTGAAGAAAATAATTTTTAGAAGCTAATAAACTAATCGAAAAAATGCCATTTATCTTTGTTTATATGATATGCATATTATATATATTTACAAAGATAAACAATTGTTATAACCCTTTGAAGAGCAATTACAGACGATCCACTGGGTAGTTTTTGATGATTTAACCGCAGTTAGAATCGTCTTAGCCTGAAGAACAACTATATTTAAAGTTAAAAGTAAGTTTACTTAGTATCAAACTTGCTTCAGGAATACTTTTTAATATGCGCGTTATTTAGGGACGTTATTATGAGGCTATATTAGAGGATCCAATTTTCTAAATAATATCCATGCTCGTTATTTCGCGACAATACGGTATATCAATGTTTCTTACATCGAAGGTTTTCTATTTCAAGAAATATTTGTATATTCTATATATCAATAATTAACATGTTTTTCGTGCAATCGCTTTAAATTTTTGGAGCCTACTGTACATATTTTGCATAAATATTTATATGCCAATATATGAATATATGACTTTTTTTTTCTTTGAAGTTGGCACGTAGTATGTTATGTGTAAGTGTAATTTGATGCGTAGATGAAATAATAATATTATCTACCCTGTGACTTAATATGCTACCAATAGAACAATGAAAATATTCTTTAAGTATTCTACGCACCTTTTGAATTACATGTGAAAGAAATAACATAGAAAATATTTTTTCGAGACAAAATGAATCAATATTAACAATATTAACATTAAATATCAACAATGTTAACATTAATACTACCAAAACTATTTTAAAATTTTATACCCTTAAACTGCAATCTTTCACTTCAACTTATTTCAAATTATTGTTTAATAAAACCCGTTAATTTATTTAAGTAAATACTTAAATCATTCAAATGAAAAATTACTATAGAGATATAAAAAGAAAACTATAGAATTCATGAATACCGTCGATTAATTATAAGATATTGGAACATGATGTTTATTTTGTCGAGCAAGTGATTGGCTGACTTATGTTCCGACAAAGCAAATTTTGTAATATTTGCGTATCGATGATCCAATACCAATGTTATTTTGCAAAAATTTGCTGCAAAATTGTTTTTTCATGTTTAGTTATGGCAATTTGTTATATTAATTATTATATTGTTTTAAGTTCTTGTTTTTCTTCTACGTATTAATTATTATATTGTTTTAAGTTCTTGTTTTCCTTCTACGTATTAATTATGGAATTGAATCAGTTATAACGACTGTATTGGTATATAAACAAGATAATCTTGGTTTGTTAATTACAACCTTCTAATGTAAAATCAAAATATTCAACTTCACCGTTTTGTATGCAAACACCTATCATAGATTTTTTTTTTTTTTTTTTTTTGTGCGTTATTATGTAAGCGAAACAATCCCGAATTAAAAACTCTGCCAATTTCTTGATTTGTAAAGCTTAATCATAAATTGCACGAGGATCTCTTGCATTATGGGTGACTCCGCTTTATAATCAATTGATAAAACACATTTTTATTAGTGATTAAATATATCTGATTAATCTCTTATTAAGAACTTCTATCGTAATTTTGTTTTGCAAAATACCAAGCTTTGAGGCTATTATCTAAACTACAGTTGACGCAATTTCGTTCAATATTACAATATTAGTAAATATGTTCGATATTAAGTAACTATTTATTCAGAAATTTTAAATTTATATAGCTAATTACTTTTGTAAAACCACCTCTTCTATTTAATAATATTAATATAATAAGGATATACATCAAGAATTTATAGATCTTTTCTTTAGTAATTGGTTTAAATTTATCTTTGTTATAAAGTATAATAGCTTCTCTTGCACCATCCCAAGAATTCCTTCCTATTAGTCGATACTATAGAAATATATGCATATATTTAGCATTAAAATAAAATAAATAACTGTCACATTAGCATTGTAATAAAAATTTTACGCACTTGAATTGGAGTAACCATGCCGAACATAATTAATTTCCAAAATCCAAAACCAAACCTTTTAATTATTTCATAAGAATAAGGATAACATCCTATGTCTCTGCTTAAAGTATCCATATAGGATATATAACTTAGCCGAATAACACTACGAGCGGTTTCACAATAATTTTTACGAATTTTTTCATAATAGTTACGTATAGATTTCTCCATTTCGAATTGAGATGGGAGTGGTTTGATCGATCCTTTAATATGACTTGTTACATAACGTGCTTGCATTTCACTTTGTTTTTAAAAGAAATTTAATTACTATTGTATAAATGATTTAATGTTTATATGTAAATCATAAACTCACCTAACTGGCCAGATAGAACCAGCTCCTAATACAAGTCCAAGAAATGCAATATTTGGATATTTCGGAGGCAATATCATTTTATACAACCAAACTAAATCATGCAAATCTTTTCCATATTCTTGCTCAATTTCATCCCCACCAGTAAAAATATGCTCTTCTAAAAATGGATAATTAATATAAT